TCTTTTCTGGTTTAATTGGCAAAATCTAAACTTTTTGCTGATAAATGATAACACTTCTATGTACATTTTAAGTATTCATTAAGATACACCTTAAGGACGTCGCTAGGTAAACTAAATTTGCGACAGTAAAATCTACGTTTTACGAAAGCAAAGCTTAAAATACAATACAGTTATCTCCTAATTTCTCATGTCAATTTTATTTGATTGGGAATTCGCGGTATTCCAATGCAACCAATGTTATAAAATTTCTGATCGTGTACAAACATTGTGATGTCATCAGCTTAACCGATATAAGTTTTGATTTCGCAGGAACTGGCTATGTTATTGCACAAACATTGGTAAAAAATAGCTATATTAAAGGTAAAGGTATAATTATTATCATTTCGGAAAGCACTTTCAAAAGAAGGACTTATTTAACAGAAGCATCTGAAATTTGATGAAAAAGGAAAGCACTCTTAATAATCGGACCTGTCTTATGTTTTCACCCTGTCTAGAAAATCGCATAATGAATTCAATGAATAAGGATTAAAAGAGGAGATGCGAGTATACGTCAACGCAACATCATCTTAAATACACAAGAACCCTATAAACATCTAACGATCAACATACGGTCTTCGAAAAGAGAAAGGTGTCCACACAATACTCAGCCACACGACAGGATTCAAATGATTTCTTTTTTATTGTTCCCTTAGTTCAGGTTATAGGACCATCTTAATTTATAGTTTAATCTGGTTGCCTGACGGCCTTGTCTTGGATCTAGAGTTTATGACTTTCAGGTAATAAACATTTCAAATTTGGATAGATGCTAGAAATATTTAGAAATATTTTTGATTACATGGAAAGAACAAAGAGGTTTCTAAACAATGCGATTAAACAGTATAGAAGAAATGCTAGATGGTTAAAACGCACGCACACTCATCCACGTCACTCTATCATTTGTTCTCGCTCTTTTTTCTTTTTTTTTCTTTCCCTAAAATTATATTTAAATTTAATATTTTAATATTTGAAATTTTAAGGAGACGTATGCATTCTGGCGCAAATACAAAATTTCAATCCTGGTATCTATGATGAGTTTATTTAAAAGATAAATATAATTTATATTGTAAATACTCATTATAGGAAGAAGACGTTATAAGCTTGATTTACTCGTCTTATCCCTTTTGCTTTGTTTTTGAAAATAACATGTGTAAAAACGAAAATATGTCGAGCTCTAAACAACTCCAAGCTGAACAAAATTTGTGAATAAACTTTACAAATACTTTCAAAAATCTGGAATCAAAACCAATTCCTCCTAATGAAAAAAGCTATCAATAAATAATAAAAAAAAAAACCAACCAGTGAAGAAGTTCCATTTGAACCAGCACAATGTTCAGGACGATTTAAAGCTTCCCTTTTGATGATGACTGTGTGTTACCCTCTAAATGATAATTAAATTAAACTTTCTTTATTGAAGCCATTGGTTGTTTATGTGTCGTAGTGTTGCTGTTTAAAGACGTAAACCCTTTATTTCCTTTTATTAATACATTGTACAAAAACATTTGACAGGGTTAAACTTTTTTTTTAGATCTAAACCCTCCGTTTTTTTTGCTCCAAAATGTAAAGTTGAAAATTACGGACACACAAGTCTAAACTATCATTGATATAGACACCAAACACATAAAAAAATGGTTCTTGACAAAATACAGTTCCTTTCAAAATCGATGAAACATGGCAGTCGCTCTGGAAAGGGTTAACAATAATTCATGGCATGTGCATGTGACAACCGGTAGTAACGGACAGTGTGAAAAGTCGATTCAGAGCCTAACGATCAATGCATGCATACGATGGCGATCGTAGAAAGTTTGTAGTTATAATATCAGAGTAGGCTAAATATGTCGTTTAGTAAGCTATAAACAGTTTATGTAAAAGCGATTGCTCTGTCCAAAAAGTCTCTGTTGTTGAGATAATCTTTGTCGAAACAAACCAGCTGTCATCTGCGGATACACAATACAGAGAAAATATCAGTATTTTGCTAATGAAAAAGTTCACCTTTTTTAAAGCTTAATTGTTAACGTCTGTCATAAAGGTCAGATTTCTAACATCCTGTATTGTCCACCTTATCGTATGTAAGGTTTGCATTTTCCTGAATTGATTCACAGAGGTTGTAAAAAGCCAGATGGAACATCCAGGAGATTTGCCTATCATTTACAGAGTTGGAAGATGATCAAGGAGACCCGTCAATCAATAACAAAGTTCAACGAAAGAGAGGCGAATGATACCAAACGGATATCGAAAACAAACGCCATTGCAAAAAAAAACGCAAAACCAACAAAAGACAAACAACAGTCCACAAAACACAACATAATATATAATAAAACTAAAGACTGAGCAACACAACTCCACCATAATATCGGGGGCTCCGGAAGGGTAATCAGATCCTGCTCCACATTTTCGCACATCGTGTTGTTCATGTTAGTACAATTTGGTGATAAGTCTAATTCGGTAAGTCCCATACACATTCGGGAGATTCGTTAATCAGTCACGGAGCTGGATAGAAGAGCAGGGGATCCAACAATCAATTACGGAGCTGGATAGATGATCAAGTATCCGTCTATCAATTACTGAAATGGATAAAACATACGACGATCCGTCAATAAATTACAAAGCTTGGTAGAACATCTGGGAGATCCACCAATCAATTTCGAACCTGGAAAGAACATCCGAGAGATGCATCAACCAATTTCAAAGCTCAATAGAACATCCAAGACATCTGCTTATCAATGGCGGTGCTAAATAGCACACCCGAGAGATCCGTCAACCAATTGAGGACAACAGAAAATCTCACTGGAGACCGAGCGACTAATATACCATTTAGTTTCCTCTTTGGTCAGATAATCAACTTTCATTATTCATAACAAAGTGAAAATAAAGCGAATACAATATATTAGATTTAAAAATGTCTAAGTATTTGACATCAGACAGCTAAGATCATATGTAACAAGACTGTTTTTCAAGATTGTCGTGCTTTTCTGTCGTAAGAAATAAAGTGACATGCCACGGTAAATATAAATTAAGCAAGAGAAAAGAGAAAAAAACATACATTTACATTGTGTCATAGGTCAAATTTATTTGTTCAGTGTATGTTCAATGGTGTTAATATGTCCTTTGATTGAGTTAAGCTATTTCAGTTGATATTTTATAGTGTGTCTTTCTATGTTGTGATGTTACACTATTGTTTCAGAAAAAGGGTGAAGGTTTGGTACCATTAAAACGTTTAAATCCGCTGCATTTGTTTGCACCTGTCCTAAGTCAGGAATCTGATGTTCAGTAGTTGTCGTTTGTTGATGTGGTTCATAAGTGTTTCTCGTTTCTCGTTTTTTATATAGATTAGACAGTTGGTTTTCCCGTTTGAATGGTTTTACACTAGTAATTTTTTGGGGCCCTTTATAGCTTACTGTTCGGTGTGAGCCAAGGCTCCGTGTTGAAGACCGTACTGTGACCTATAATGGTTTACTTTTATAAATTTTGACTTGGATGGAGAGTTGTCTCATTGGCACTCATACCACATCTTCTTATATCTATTGTATAAGAATGTAAGAAAAAATGAATATGATTACATATGCAACTTTTTATAGAAAAATTACATGAAAGTAATTTACTGGAATGTTTGAACAATACGAATCCTCTCAAAGAACAAAGTGTGACTTTGCTTATAGTTTCTTAGTGGAAAGTCTGTTCTAAAAATAAACATTACAAGAATGTTGTATCGAGTAGCACTCAAAATTCTACTTGAAATGTGGTTTGTATGAAACTACAATGATAATCCTTCATTTTTAAGATATAAAAAGCTGCGTCAGTAACGCATCTTAAGCCCTTTGCAAACCGGTTGTAAAATTATAAACATTTTCTTAAAGTGAAATTACTTTTTCGAAAGCCTTTTGTAAATTTTGCAAACCAATGGATTAACACTAAATCGAGATCCTTTTTTTCGATCCTTGAAAGTGTTCGATTTCGGTAGGGAGGTCACTTCCATCAGTCGGTGTTGTATAAAAATAAGAAGTTCGTCAAAAAGAGGATAGGGAAATATTTAAGAAAATGTGGACATATACATTTATCATCAATAAGACCGATTTTTAAATTTGAAAGGGAACGGAAAAAATTCCAGGAAATAAGTTAATCAAGTATACAAACATTTACCTGTGTAGGAAAACAAAATGTAAAATTGTCATAATGGAAATTGAGCGACCTGCTATTGATTCCAAGCTTATGGAAAGAGTCTGGATCAATTTCTCCCCAATCCATACATTAAAAATAGTATAATTCGAAAGCTGTTAAAAACTACATAAATAGTATAATCAAAGAGTCTTGATAATACACATTTAGAATTTAAAAACACATAAATCAAAATGTTATACAGAGTTTAAATATAAAATTGCAATTTTTACATAGTTTTTGTAAAATTATAGTTGCATCAAAGGATATCTTGAACAAATAATTTATTTGTATCTGAAAGGCAAACCGGAACTATATTTACCATAGAAAGTTTTTTTGTGATTGTTGCTCAAAACTTGTAAAAATCGACAAAATTGCAGTTTTGATAAATTTTACGTTTCCAGGAATACGTCGACATAACTTTAGAACTTAAAAGTGCACAAAGGAAAATAGATCTGGTGTGAAATGAATTCATGGGAAATTTACTCTATCTTTTTTAATATTTTGAGAATATAAACTAGTTTCGCATTGATGCGTAAATGTAAAATGACAAACGATCGAAAAGGCTATGGGTACAATTATACGACACATCCCTGACGGGCTAATAATGAAAAAAATATATTGACGTTACAAAGTATTTGACGCACAAGTATATAAAAACCTCAATCGTTATAAACACCTTCTAAACATGTCATATAAGTATGATTGCCATGAAAATGAAAACAATATGATTATCGCTTTTAGCTTCTACTAGGTGAAGCAAATGATCTATCCTGTTTTATCATCTACCTATAGAAAGAATTATCGCTAAAGTAATTACATCGAAAGCTTTTTTTTTTGCGGTGCTGAATTGCATTTGATTTGTTTTTGTTATTATTGGTGATAAATTGTGTATCTCTAATCATGCTGTGCGAACACGGGTTTGGTTTCTCACCTGTATATTTATACGGATCCATTCTGATACATTCACTACATAGAGAAACATGTGTTTGTCTTGTTTACTGAAGATAAATTAATTACTTTGATGAGAGATGACTTTAGTTAAAGTAAGTCAATAGAATTATTAGACTATAATAAGTGACATCTAAATAATCAAATTTTATTTTAAGTTAAAAGGGAAGTTTTACAATAAAGTATTACTTTAAAGAAATTAACTAATACAGTGTACATAATCTTTTGGTAAAAAAATAAATTCAGCTGACTATGGACATTTTGCATGAAGCACATTTCGCTTCAAAATAATTATGCTATGCACTTCATATGCTTAAAGTAATAACATTTGCTTTCAATGTCTTACATCTACAGCAACTATGAGAAAAAAAAAATAAAATAATTACGACAAATAAGAAAAAAAATTGTTTTAGATTCCGCTTCGATGACGGCAGATGCTCGAAATTTTTATAAATTCTTCAGGTACACATCATGTGTTATATTTTCTATTTTTTTAATTGAAATTCCAAATATATCAAGATGTTATAGCATAGATATATTTTTAAATTTTCAATTTACAAAACTGGAAAAATCTTAACATATGCAACAATACCATATGGCGCTAAACTTGGATAGGAAAGCTTGTCTCGGATAGTGTTATGTTGTCAATATATGAAAGAACTGTTCAAACTGCGTTGACATGTTCATTTATGCTCTAAAATCTGAGACTACTTTTTCAGTCCCTCTCAAAATACAATGCTCTCGATATGGGTTCAAACTACAATTAGACAAGTACAAATGTCTTGACTTTGTGCATTAAATCCTCAATTAGCTACCATTTTTTTGTAAACATTCGTCAGTTCGCTATTGTCAGGTTTTATTTTAATGTTTTGAATATTTTTGTTTATATTTACAATAATAGAAAAATGTATGTTTCATGATTTGAAAGCGTCATTTAATTTCGTAGAACTAAAATTATACCTAATATTGAAAAAAAAACCAAGAAAAATACAGTTTTTGTCCTCTAAACTATTCTCAAAGAGGTTGTAAATAAAACTTTACGTTTTCAAGTATAACTCTGAATCGCTAATGTTTAATGGTTCTGCACAGTTACGTTATCTGAAAGAAGCAAAAGATTTGTGTCAATAACAGCGCTGTATCAGTTTTTTCATTTCGATAACGCATACGATTTACTAAATAGTTAGATTGGAACTGTGCTGCTTTGTTTTGACAAAAATGTTTTTTATCTTTTGAATATCTTCAAGTATCCGCCATGATTAAGAGTAGTAAAACAACAGCAGTTCCTGTGATATACCCATATAGTTATCTCGTCGCATTTGATGGATTGTTTATACGTGTACATTCGCTCCATTTCCTCTTTTTTCAAATTTGTAAACACAAAGATGTTAAACTTCTTTTCTGATGCTATGTGGCTGCATTAAAAAATATGCTGTATTTTAAGCTTTTTGTGGGTCTTTATTTTTTTAAGATATGATGTGTTCATTCATGGTGGAAATCCCAAGGATAATTTTATTTCATCAAACTTCACATGAAGCATTGTGGTTTTATGCAGTACATCCGTTTATACCGCTCCAATTACTGAATTTTCCTGTAAACATCATGTTATAGTACGTGTTTGTAATCTGAAATAGCAGTGCATTTTGTAAGGCAAAAAAATATCATTATTTGCAAAATAAGAATAAATCGGTTGTTTATAAAATTTCTTAATAACTCAAACTACATGTATGTATTACAGTCATACAAGGATATCAATGAGAATCCTTTAAATCGTCGCTAAGCTCGGTTGTAAGTGTAAGCACTTCCAATATTTGGCAAAACTTTTCAGAATATTTGGTTTTAATGCTCTTCAACTTCGTATTTGATTTGGCGCTCCAGCTGTTTTGATTCGAGCATATGTGATGAGTCTTATGTAAACGAAACGCGCGTCTGGCGTACCAAATTATAAGCCTGGCATCTTTGATGAGTTTTTCCCAGTAACTGTGTATATGAAGACCATATATAAAAGCATTATTTTGATTCTCAATACTCTTCAAGTTAGTATTTGATTTGGCTCTCCAACTGTTTTGATTCGAACACCAGGAATGAGTCTCATATAGACAAAACGCACGTCTGGCGTACCAAATTATAAGCATGGCATCTTTGTTGAGTTTTCCCAATGTCTGTGTACATGAAGAACATATACGAAAGCTCGCTGTTTTATAATTTTCTAGTATTTCATGACATATTTATATATGGATAGAGAGGTATACTGGTTTAACTTATAGTTTGTCAGTAAGTTTACAGAAACACATTTCTGTTGCTTAATAAAAATAAAGGAGATGTGATACGATTGCGACACAATTATCCGCAACAGTCCAAATGACGTGAATGTAACCAAGACTTATTTCATTGAAACTTATATCCTCAAAATGTCGTGCACAGAAATTAATTTTTCATCATTTTTTTCTCGGCAACAACAAATCATACCTTCTTGACATAATTATGCGGGTTATAAAAAACAGTAAATGAACAGTAGTTCACCTTATTGTATTTTCATATTAATAAGAAGATGCGCCATGATTGCCAATGAGACAACTCTCCACCAGAGACCATATGACATAGAAGTCAACAACTATCAACGTACGGCCTTCAAAAATGAGCAAACCCATACCGCATAGTAAGCTGTAAAAGGCCCTGAAATGACAATGTAAAACAATTCAAATCAGGAAACTAACGGCCTGTTTTATGTACAATGTGATTCTTTTTTTCCAAGTTACGGTTGTATAATGAATAATACATTTACAACTGGGTGTATTGTGTATTCTTTTCAATATTTAATGAATACCAAATATAAATTCGGAAATATTTCATAGGATTATTTGAACTAATGTTAAGTAAATACTATTAAGACAGCAACAAAACAGCATGTAGCAAAATAAGACACCAAAATTTCCGTGCCGAACCCGGCACTAATTGGAATTAGTTGAAAGTTCTTTTAACAGGATTTTTATGTTCTTTTAGGAATCAAACCATTTAATATGTACGCTAATGGATAGTGCACTCAGTTGAATAATAATTTTTCTACAAAATGATAACTAATCATTATTTGGATTGTTTTTGGAAAATTTAATTGTTACTAAAAAACCATAAATCATAAAACTTGTATAGTAAACTTTTTGCAACAACCGTTATACGGAAAAATCTCTAGAAATCACATTTCTCGTAATATTAAACGTTAATTGACACATTTTCCTTCAATCCACATCACGAGGGTCTGGATGCAGGTCCTTCATTTCTTTATATATATTCTTTAATGTTTTTAACCATTTTACCTGTTCTTTATTTATTTCGACCATTATTAACTGTTCTTTATATTTAAGCACCCCATTATTCTCTATTCTTTTAGCCTGTTTTTCTCTATTCTTTATTATTTTTGCCCTTTATTCTGCACTTTTTGCCCATTATTCTCTACTCTGTAAACCCTATCCAGACCCTCCATCGTTATGATGTCGTTGTGATTATATATTCAAATAACAGTAACAGAAACCTTGAACATAAATTGACTATATTCATCAAATAACTGCAATGTTTTTAATTCATTATTGTTAAAATGAAAATTATTTGATCAGATATTTTTGAAAATAAAAATGCCTATTCATCATCTAGAAGAAAATCCGAAACAACCAACCACAGAATTTTGAATTACTTTGACCATGGAAGTATTATACAATACTTCCATATTTTTGGATAATGATATAATTTAAAACGTTGCATGAGTGTTTGATGGATGGATGTCTGTTTAACACCCAGTGACAAATTAAATGCATATGCAGGACGAAAACATGATAATGGGATATGAATATAGACCCTGTTTTGTATAAGACCGACAAGATGGGTCGCATTTTTTAACATGCTTTTTTACAAGGCAAAAGTACTTCGAGCCGCCCAGATCTGGCTTTTACTCGTTAATGCCGCGTACTTAGTGGAGAAGCAGCAAATACCAATCAAATTAAAATAAAATCTAAAATAAATGATCATAAACGCAACTGTAAGTCATCTATATGAAAGTAAAACTGTCGTGAAAATAATCACACTAGACTAAGTACTGGTTCAAAAGGTCAGTTGAATACTGCAACCATTATATTGCTTTTCGTTCATGATTAAATATTTATAACTGCTTTCCCCTATTTGTGCTTTCTTTGCCGAGTTACTTTTAGAAAGACGAGGACAAACTTTGGATTTGAGCATTTGAGATAGTCGAAACTATTATGCTTGAACGACTTTCGATTTTTCAACGAATATCCATGAACAATCTATGGCATTGCTGTTTATTCCATTTTGATACAATTTTTTTTATTTTTTTGGTATTGCATGAGACCTGGAACCAAAAGGAATTGAAAAGTATCTTTTATCAATTCATACTTTAAAGTACTATTTTTCCGTAATAACTTTGATTTTTGTTTTGAATGTCATTAACCATTTATGTTTAGAACATTTTTTATACTCAATTTTGAGCAATCTTATTATTCGAACGCACAAAATTTATAATGAGTTATTTCATTCATCCTCATTAGCATTAATAATTTCATTAATTCTTCAGAAATATGATTTAATTTTATCAAAAATTGCGAGGACACATACGAAGCTTTCATGTTTTAAATTTTGATTGCCTTTTAAAGTAACCCTGCCGGTGAAATAAATCAGGGGAAAATTAGACATAAATCTTTTCACACATGGAACCATCATTATTCTGCCACGAATCATCCGACAATGGACTATACAATATGCTTCTTCAATATAAACATTTTGACAGACATACATTCAAAGAAGCTGTCAACGTGGTTTGTTAAATAAAAATGACATTGTCGTTACTATCAGGTTATTATGTGGCATATTCCAATTAAAACTCTCGTGATCGTGAGAATGAATTGATACTGCTGATTTGTCGCAGTAATGTACATATAACAACAATTAGTAGGGAGAAAGTAACCCATTAAATGCTTGCAGTCCTGCTTTATTAACAATAATTTCATCTACAAAATAACCCGCATTATTTGCTTTAAATTAGTGGAAAGATATTAAAAATAAAGTTGTTTTTTTCAACAAAAACATGGAA